TGAGCTTGCTGGCACTTGCTGTCCCATGGTGTCTGCATGCGGGTGCACGCGTCCATACACTTACCTTGTGTCTCTCCTCGTCTCCCAGCCGAAAATGTGATCTGCGCGTGCGCCCACCCCAAGATGCTTTGCGGCCACCCGAGAATTTTCACATTTTTGTACAGGAGCGCGCGGGGAAGACACAAGTGAGTATTAACCCTTTTCAAAGCGGGGTTTTTTTCCTACACTTTTTGCATATATCTACTGCTTGCTAGCAGTAGATATATGCAAGGAAATCGGAGGATTTAATAACCCTTTCAAGGTTTTTATTGCTGTCTTTGCTAAAACTCTGTTTGTCAATACGTGATAGTAAATCCAAAATTTTGAGTCATCAGAACAGAAACAGAGGGGAACTCTTTCAATAAGCACAATTGCTCTTGTGGCAGCTGTCCAAAAGGGGACTTTGGGGTGATTTTCTCTCACTTTCTCTTGTGTGTGTGCAGAAAAGGAAATAAAAAGAAACCTCTCATGTGGGACGCAGTTGGCAAAAACAAAACTGGGGTTTTAATACAGAACTCCATTCAACATTTTTCTTAACCCTTACAGTGGAGCTACCCCCATACTACAGTTTGCCAGAGTTCTTTAACTATTCCCTACTCTTATTAAAATGAAAACAAAGTTTGGCTTTAGCTATACTTTAAGTAAAATTCCAATTGGAGGGGTTCTGCGAGAGATTCAGAAACAACAACCTTTCTAACAAGCATTCCATATTGGATTGTCTATACTGTTTTATTGTTGGATTATTAAATAATACCACTCGGTTCCAAGTCATTTTAAAAGCTTTCTATATTTATGAATGTGTATGGTTTATTTATAAATCTCTATCGGTGTATTCAGCTCTCTCAAAACTCTGGTTTACAAACAAGGGCAAAGTGAATGGTGTGATAAAAAATATATGACACTTTAGCTAGGAAATGTGGAGTTCCCTAATCACAAATACTTTCAATTGCAGTAAAAGGTATAAATGAAAGCAGTAAGGTTAGAAAAGTTGTAGAGCAATTCTTAAGAGAATACATTAAAGTGGACTTTCAGTGAATCAGGGTCAAATAAGACTCACCACTGTGGGGTTGAACCATAATCTACATGTCAAGCGTGGAGATGACCATTATGAAAGCTATATATAGGCACAGTCAAGGCTACATGTGGTAGAATAGTATCATACACAGTATACCAGTCCACATTTCTGTTTATGACCAAACTTTTGAAAAAGGTGGGGGATCAAAAATGTTTATATATAGGCACCACTGCCAATCCAATCCCATTATGGAACTCAGTTTCAAAATGTCTTGAGTGATCAAACAGTATGAGCTACACATTCTGCAGCTGCACAATCACATTTAGGACTAGACATATTATTACAGTTTTGCATTTTTTTTATTTTTTAGTTTTGTTTTCATAATTTCTATTGTTTTAGGTGTGTGTGATTTATTTGATACTTTTTCAATCTTTTTAAGATTTGTTGTTTTGTTAAAACAAGCAGACTGAGGCTGAGGCAGGTGGTTTTCATAACCTCTTTTGTGCCAGATGCCAGATACTGCCACATCTGGGTTATGTGTGCCAATTACTTCCCTGGACACTCAGTAAAGCTCATCCCGCACATCAGCCGCGGCAGTATTACTGTTAGCTTGGGCTTCGATGGTGCGGAGACGGAGCTCAGTCGGCCGGGATTTGATTAGAGTCCAGCCTGCATCGGAATCCCCAACTTATCCAGCAGAGTCTGAGTGAAACGACCGGACGACAGCTTGCTGCTTTTTGCACTATCATCGTACTGGGAACCGTCTATTCTTGAGACCCCTGCATATACCTCTTTGTTTACTGTGCGGCCGCACACATCTACACGGAAATGCTTTTGGGTTAGCTCTCAAATTTGAAATTCGAGCCCGTGGGCCAGCGAGAGCCCCAAGCAGGGGAAAAGGCAAGGGCGCCTGCATCTCTAGCCCTGCCTCTCCATCCCCACCTCCGGATCCCAATTACAATCACCTATTGAAGCAAACATATCATCCAGCATTGTGGAACTCGAGCAGGACTGTCGCTCCCTGAGCAACATGAGTTGTGAGTAACCTGGGATACATTGTATCCATACATGAGATATTTATTTAGTAGGTGGCAACTCTTTATTACTACATCAGCTGGAGTGCAGACCACCCATGATGATCACTGTTACCCTAGGGAAGTTTTTTTACTGTTTTTAAATGTCTTGTTGTGGATGTACTGTTTAAAAAATTTTTTCTATGATTAAATATTCACCTTGTTAAATTACGTATTTTCTACCTGTTTACTGAACCAGCTCCGAGTAAGGGATTTCTATTTTCTTGGGGACACCTCATATTTTGAATAACGTTGTTGAAACCCTGGAGACTGGTATACTACATTATATTATATTATCTGGTTCGGCGTAACTCCATCCTGTTCCCCTATTTGTTGCAGATACTGCCAGTCCCAGCTTGGACACAGTTTTTGGGGAATCAGATAACCCAGGATACACTAATTCTGTCTTATCCTACTTATAATTCAGGTGCCACAATCAATCTTACGGACTATTGCTTTGTGAAACTTTAATCATCCTCCCTTACCCACACCTCAGCATGCACTTACATGATCTGCAGAGCAATAAGGGAAGCTGATTTAGCACTGTAAAATGTAATTTACCACTGCAGTGAATCAAAAAGTGAGAAAGAGGCTTTAAATATGCCCAAATATGCTAAAAGATTTCAAAGGGCAATATTGGGGATCATGTGAGAGTGCAGCATATGTTATGTGTTATTGTATGTGTGATGCAGGGTTCAATATGTAATGAGACTATGGTGAAGATGTTTCTTTTGTGAAATCTTTGAACCCTGGGCCCCTCATATCCCCACTGTGCATCTTACTTTCCTGCCTCTTTCCCTCATCCCAATTATGCAAGGTGCACTAAAATCACTGTGTACATGTCCCGGTGCTTTGTACTGGAGCTGCCTGCTAACACCAGTTCCACAATGCTTAATGGCTAACAACAGTATTTCTAAACCTATTGCAGCAGGTTGGCCTGAATTTCAGGCGCATACCTAATTCTCCCGTTGTGCTCTTGTCATACATCTTTTTGTAAGTCAGAACTCTACCATAGATGAAACCTCTTTAAACTATGTATGGTGTGGAGTGCAGTTTGTATTGCAGAAGTAATTATTCATTAATTGTGATGTAGGGTACAGTTTTTATTATTCTGGTTGCATTGTGTGTGATAGTCTATTGTAATATGATGGTCCTACCTGACAAGTCTAATATAAATGATATCCCAGATTTTGCGCATAGTTAAAGGCACAACTTCTGTAATCCCGGTCGCTGGTACAGGTTGGTTTCAAAATCAGTTGATGAGTGTAATATTGCAGTAATTTAGTTATAGGATTTCAGCTGCAGAGGCGAGATGGTTACCCTGGCCAAAGGGAGTAACTGTCTCCAATGGTTTGTTCATTGAGGAAACGGTAGTTCAATGTTCAGTTCCACAATTATACGCTCCATGTAGTGCGGAGGAGGTTGTGGAACTTTTATACATCATGCACCGTTATATATAGTAGAAAATGACATTAGTGCACTCCCACCGGTGTATTCCTTCATACACCTAGTTTGGCACTATATACATGGAACAATTTGTTCCTGCTTGCAATCTCAATGGGAACTAAACTTAGGAGTCACTTCAATAGTTCAAAGTATAATAAAATGCTTATATACTGCAATTGTACAAATAATATATAAACAGAGTTATTCAGTAGTTCATATAGGTCCACAATCTTAAATAGCATGCAAATAGCACTGGACAAAACAGATGGGGTTTATAGTTCTCTGCAATCTAATTTATACCATTCCATGTAATGGCAGAAGACAGAGCAGCTGATATTGGTAGTACACAAGGGCCAATAATATCTGGTTGTAACACAATAGCTGCGGTGGTGACCGCAATAGTCTGTACAAATTGCCAAGTCTCTAGCACAAGAATCAGTAGCTACTGTATAACCCAGTTAGTATGGTTTACTACTTGCGCTTTTGTAGAGAGCAGGTTGCCAGCAGATTCCGATTACAAGCCAGCCGCAGTTGCAGTGTTCTAGAATGAGTGTGGAGATCTCTCACAGCAGTTCAGATTGCAGGGGCTGAATCTACAGAAGACAGCCCCAGGAAGGAAAGCTTCTCACAGTCCAGAGAGGTGAGTATCTGCAATGCTGCAGAGGGTTATTGCCCAGCATTCACAACATTAGTAGTACACTGAGCAATTGAAAACCCCACAGTTTTATCATGACAGTCAGCTTGAGGGGGGAGGAGCAACACAATGTCTCCTCAATAGGCGGCTCCGGATTCTATCACTGGATCAGATGGAGGTGAGTTTATTACAATAAGTTTTTAGCTGGGTGTGGGTACAGTCATTGCTATCCCATGAAGTAGACCCTATGCTAAAAGGGTGCAGACTTTATAGTTACTCATGACCACATGGGTGGATTAGGGATGCAGACTATTTGAACTTTCAACCTTGTGCCTTTAAGGTCACTCATGTCACACTATATTATGCCTAGATCAGTAATTTGATCCAATTTGATATATTTACAGCTCATATCTAGCAGTATATAAAAAATTATATAATGCCAATAATTATCCCAATAGATAATGGCTTCACATCATTAATTCACTTCCAGATATACATATCATAAAGAAATTTAGAGTCTTGTGGTTAGAAAAAGAAAGCGCTGGGTATTTCTGAAATTGAAAGAGGCACATAGTAATGAAGTACCGATGTACTATAACAACAGGCTAGACCATTTTCTCTGATAGTCCACCTGCAAAAACCACATTGATTAATATATTTTGCTTTCAATTCCTGTGTAAAGGAAACTGTAGTGCTAGGGTCTCGCAACACAACTGTTAATGTGCAAAGTAGTATTCCAGATGCATCTGTCTACAGAATATAAAACTGATCTAAAATGTCTTCCATTTTACAGCTTCGTGAACATTTGGCCAAAGGTCAGCGTTTGTTGGCGGGGCAAGGAATGTCTCATGTAGTTCGAAGTATGTTGGAACTGGTGTCCACCAAGAACTACTACAGTGGGGACCTTCTTTTTTGTGTTGAGATCTTGCGCAATGTGACTGACACTTACAAAAGAGCCACCTATATACCCTCATTTGAAGATATTCAGGTAAGACAGATGTTAGCAGGATTAGCTCAGAAATCAGAATAGTGGTATACATTTACCTATGCTCCATTTCCTGACAGAGATGAGTTGACTTGTGATAATATATTAACCGACCTGTCAAAATGTTCTCGTGCATTAAAGAAAACCTGTACTTAGAGAATATAGAGGTTTGCCATTGCTGATCTTTCCTTCTAAAAATACTAGATGCCTGGCTGCCATGTAGATGCAATGACGTCAATAGATTCTAAGGTATTGACCTGGAAATAATATGAATAGATTTCCACAGGAGCTAGTTCTAACCAACTCTATTAATTCAATAAAAAAAAAAAAGGTTGGACATGTTTCTAAATGCACAAAATATAATTGGCTATTATTATTTATATGAAATCAAATTGGAACCTGATCCAGGGCATATCTAATCATCTCAGGTGATCAGGAAGGAATTTTTGCTTATTGGGGCAATTTGGACCTCCTTTTATAAGCATTTTTTGCCTTCCTCTGGATCAACTCTGGGACTAGGGATCTTAGAATGCAAGTAGTTTATTTTTGTTTTGTGTTTGAACTTGATGGACATGTGTTTTTTTTTTTCAATCTGGCTAACTATGTAACCATGTGGAATCCGAGTTTCTGATTCTGATTCCACAACTATAGGCCCGTGTATGATAGTCCAAACAAGTCCCAAATCCAGTTACTATGGGATGCGCAAGCCTCATAAGATAAACAAAAAATGTACTTTACCTACCCTGATTGAGCCAAATCCACTTTCATTTTGTGTTTAACTTGTTCACCCTTCTAAACCTTCCCAGCTCAAAGTGGGAAGGTTTAGCAAGGAAGTGGTATTATAACAAAGTGGAATCAACTGGGAACAACAGCAACTCAGCCACGAAGTGGTAGGCCACGTTAAATGACAAAGCGGGGTCATCGCATGCTGAAGCGCACAGTGCGCAGAAGACGCCAACTTTCTGCAGAGTCACTAGCTATAGACCTCCAAACTTCATGTGGCCTTCAGATTGGCACAACAGTGCGTAGAGAGCTTCATGAAATGGGTTTCCATGGCTGAGCAGCTACATCGAAGCCTTCCATCACGAAGTGCAATGCAAATTGTTGGATGCAGTGGTGTAAAGCACGCCGCCACTGGACTCTAGAGAAGTGGTGACGTGTTCTCTGGAGTGATGAATCACACTTCTCTGTCTAGCAGTCCGATGGATGTGTCTGGGTTTGGCGGTTGCCAGGACAACGGTACTTGCCTGACTGCAATGTGCCAAGTGTAAAGTTTGGTGGGGGGAGGGGTTATGGTGTGGGGTTATTTTTCAAGGGTTGGGCTTGGCCCCTTAGTTCCAGTGAAGGGAACTCTTAAGCCATCAGCATATCAAGTCATTTTAGACAATTTAATGCTCCAGTTTCCAGATTAGTGACTGAAAAAGTATTTAAACCAGAGACAGCCAGACAGCTAATATTCTTAGAAAGAGGTCAGCTGTGGGAGCCATTGTATTTCTCTTCCCTGCGTTTTCTGATTTTGGCCAAAATTGTTGTCAATTGTGTAGATGGCACACATGGTTCAAAGGGAAATGTGTCTTTATTATGGATGTGTTATTAGTTGCTGTGTACGCAGATCAACATTCACAAATGATGCCTCATCTCTATGATCTAGATCCCTTGGCAAATGATTTTCTTGTGGAAATTGTGTACTTAATTTATAAATCTTTAGCTATGTAGCTTGTCGGCAATTACCCCTTTCCTACTGGCAGCATACTAATTTATGCTAACTTCACTAATTTATGAGAACTGGAACCAAAATGGAACACCGTTGAAAGCAAAAAACAAGACAAATATAGTTCTACTATTAAAAACTCCACATTAGCTCCATCTTTCTTTGCTCTGTTTTCAAAACTCTTGACACCATTATCATACCTACCAACATTTCAGTCCTGATCATTGGGACACAGTAAACCCCACCCACAGTCTGCCTTGTTGGTTATGTGTTTAGATGTAGCACTGAGATCTTGAGGAATGCTGAATTAAGTTTTACTTGCTTAGAAGAAGATTATAACAGAATACAGCCTTATACGACATACAGAGAGAACGTCCTGTGTATATCATAAATAAGCATGAACACTACTTGTACTACAGTGCCTTCTACAGCTCAAAAGACATAATATATGCTGTAGTATTTCCAACATGCCAAAGGGTCCACCAGACAGCCCCATCAGACCCCACCCACTTACCATTGTGACGCAGCCAAACCTTGCTTCAAATTATGCAGGAACCAGTCAATTCTAGTCATAGCTCCTAGTCACCATACTGAATGCCTTATTGAGCTACTGCACATGCACAGTCGTTTTTAAAAAAAGGCGACACTGAGATCCCAGGACATTGGCCGGGACACAGCATAATCGGGACTGGGATCCAAGATGTGGGACCGTTGCAGCAAATAAAGAACAGTTGGCATCTATGCATTAGATGCTTCCCATTAGCAGTGCCTAATGCATGAATGTTTTCTTTTTACTCTGAGCAACCAGCCATACATTGTAATTTTCTCAATGCAACTTCCTTTCATACAGTTTACTCTTTTGGAACTTGACACATATTTATTCTTGCATATCTTTTCTTTAAAACTTTCTCTCTCCCTCAGTCATGTTTATGATATGCATGCAATAAAGTAGCCAGCATCACGGTTTTTGATGCCTGGTCATGTCCTCTTGTCTGTTGCACATTCTTCCGTGAGTTCTGGCATAGAAGGCTTCTTGTAGCTCCATGCGTAACATGCAGACCAAGCCTGTAAGTGCTGTCACAGTGAGTTGTAGCACAGACATAAAAGGCTCTTTTGCTTGTTAACAGAAATCATGTTGTGTATAATGTGATATTACGACCGACATACTGTGCTTTTCAGGCTGCTCTCTCTCATTATTCTGTTGCCCTCCTTTCTCATCCTCCACTATTTTTCTTATCTCTGTGATTTTTCTCTTATCGTCTCTTTTAGATTTTCCCCAAATATCTTGTTTATTTGATCTTCCTTTCAGTTGTCTGTATTTCTTTACCCTTGAGCAGAATATTCTTTTATGATTACCCAAGGTTTTATTTTGTTTTATGGACTGTCTGACTTCACTTACACCACATATTCTTATTTTATTAAACAAGCTATTTTGCCTTTTTCTACCTTGTGTTTCCCATCACAAGAGGTAAACGCAGACGACTGCATATTCTCTTTACAGTACCTTGCCAAAGGAACATACAAAAAGTATACAGGGACAATCCAATAAAAGTTCAGCAGCTTGCAATGAAGAAGTAACATATGATTACAAATTTGCATTTAAAAGAAATCGCTGGATGCATTGTAAACATCTGCCAGCATACTGGAACATTACTATTTTTGAAAGTACAATAGCTCATTTAAAGTAGACCTTTCCTGCCTACAATAACATTTTCTGCATGCAGATCTAAACAAATCAAGTCATTTTTAAATAAAATATGTATTCTTTTACTTACATATAATTGAATTCCTCTTCCAGTTCGTTTGAAGCACTAGTGATGTAGCCCTGGCCTCCCAGATGCCTCCTGTGATGTCCACGTCACCATTGCCTTCAATGGAGATCGCATCAGTATACTGAGAGATCTTGTGAGGTCTCACTTTCTGTATCTGCCTTTGCTCCTTCATTTTCCTAAGGTGTATTTAAAGCCAAAACATTTTCTAATTTTTGGATGGCATTGGGAAGGGATTGAATCCGTGTCAGGATTGTACTACTATCCGGGGTGTAGCTCATGTGAATTACCTTCACTTCCTGTGCTGCGGACAATGTTGTACCAGGCAGGAAGTGAGGGGAACTCTTTAAGAGCAACACAGACAGAAATAAAAATTATTGTCTTTAGTAGAGTAGGGGAAGGCTAGAATACCTGCGATCTAGTGCACTGCTAAAAAAAATGCAATATGTCTGCTGTGTTGCGGTGTGAATGGACAATGGTTTTTGCATGTGCCCTAGGAGAAACTGGTGATGTTGTGTATTTGCTGAAAAGTGTTTTTGTGCATGTGAAAAAAAAATGTTTTGGTAAAAGAAAATTCTGGTGGGCTACTCCAGGTGTTGTAAACTGTTTGTGCTGTGATTACAACCATTCAGAATTCCTATTTTATGATTCTATGGTTTCTTTCTTTGATATCACTTGCTGAGATTTGATGTGATACAACTGTAATTGATGAGAAAGACTATAATGGACAGTGGGCTTACAGAAGGATCTGCACCAAACATACTGACCCCACACTTACAGATAAGTGTTTTTGCAAAGTCCTTCAGTAAGCTCTCTGCCATGCACCTTCTTCTGGTTTGGAATCTCCCTTTTTTATCAGTGTCAACCTTATCTAATACATTTTCAGCAATCAATAGGACTTAAACCAGTTGGAAAAGCTAACTTGACGTGTATTTCCATTTTTGCAGTAAAAATTAAATTTGAGAAAACCCCTTTATATGTTTGTTATATGTTCTCATTCACACAGCATAACAAAAAAATAATTATATATGTCTTACCCTTTAGTTGTTTTGTTGCAGCAGGCAACATTGTTGAAACAAGGTTTATTCTGAGCACCTGAAATTTGTGGATTGTGTTTACCTTATTAAGTTCATTAACATACAATGCACAAGCCAGGATTGTAATCCTTTTAACTCTTTGTTCGGACATGCACTGTTCAAATCTACTTTACAAATTATAATGAACAAACACTCCACCCCTAACAACCCCTCCCAACATTACATAGAAGGAGAAGCAAGTTAACCCTTGAGAAACCAAGAAACCCTAACCCAAGTAAAAACAAGTTAAACTGCAAGAAGCATTTTTTTGTTTTATTTTTAGCTTATGCTATGTAAATGGGAGCATGTAACAAATATAAAATAGGTGTTATTCCAATTTGTCTTCAAAAGTTGAAATACACTTTAAGGCCAGCGGGAAAAGTGTTTAGATGGCCTTTGATTGAGGATTTGGTTTGGTGGATCATGATGAAGAACCTTTCCGAGGGACTTAGTGTTCTTCGCTGTAAAGCATATTGGTGGTGGATATAGGAATATCTGAATGTTGATGATACATAGATTAAATAACTGTTATTTCATAGATCCTTATACGTGCTCCTATGCACCTTCATTTGCATATATATGATGTATTATTTATTAATAGTGCTGTATTATTTACATGTTTGTTGTTCAATATAGCTTGTTTACACCACACAAGGCTACCATGTGCTTTGGTCGTAATTAAAACACGTTGCAGTGCTTGCTCTCTTTATTCCCTTTTTTAATCAGAAACGTTTTTATTGAGTTTTGATACATTACAGGAAAAGAAAACAATCAGACAAACATTTGCCTGTGATCAGAGTCACATGTATACACAATGTGGATTTAGCCCGTTACATCTAATCAGTAGAAAAGCAAGATGTGTAACAGCTCCACATTGGGTCAAAACATACAAAAATAAAACAAAGGAAGGAAAATAACAGTCAATATTGTTAATATTATTCTTATCCTACACCATCACTAAAGACGAAATCAAGGTCATCAAACAAAGGGATACCCACTCACACAATGATCTGAAAGTAGGGTAGGGCTCTTCCAGTCACAATATAACCTAGAGGGTAAGCAAAGGCATTAGGCCGCAAGCGCTAGGGGCTGGAGTGTGTAAATGTAGAAAACCAAGCAGTCCATGGTCTCCAGAGGGTATGAAACCGCTGAATTTTAAAGGCCATAGTTCTCTCAAAATTGTAGAGGAGTTGTACTAAGTGGGCAAGGTGGGTAATGGAAGGACCTTCAAGTGTTTTACAATTTCTGGCAATAAGGAGACACGCTGCTAGTAGAACGTGAGTAATTGTATTCCCTTTTTGAAACATATGTAATTGTATGCACCTCAGCGTATTGCAATGTGTTACATTGGGCTGGACCACTGCACAATTCCTATTTTTTTCAGCGTATACCAACACAATGTATTGGTGTGAACTGAAGCCACAGGACATTGCCTTGTTCTTGCATTGGGTTTGAATTGGAATTAATTGAGTCTGAAATCAATGCTGCCTAACACACCCCAATGCTGCTGGTGTAAATGAGCCTTTAGGGTGGTTGTACAGAGAGAAGAGATATGATATACAGTATATATATCGGGCCGTCTCTATAATGAGGCAGCCTGAGGAGGTTACCTCAGGCGGCATCTCATTGAGTCACTTGGGGGGTGGCAAGTGTGCCTGCCACCCCCTATCCAACCAGACAGTCCCAAGTTACTAAGATCTCTTAGCAGCCTGTGATGCTCTGGCTGGCGTCCCAGCGAGCTCACTGATGTCACTGGTTGACAGGAGCTGAGTGGGACGGTCCGGCTAGCGTTGGGCCCAGCGTAATGTTCGTCACGAGCACCCTCTGGGGACTGTTTTTAACTTGAGCACTTGAGACAGTTTCATTCGTTTTTGTGCTGCCTAACATGAAAGTGCTGGGGACCTCCTTTAGTATTGTTTTTTATATACGGTATACTGATAGAGAGGCTTCCAGGTGTAGAGTGTCAGAATAGTGCTTATTTATTCATTTTGTAACTAGTTTATATTATATTCCTATGTATTTTAGTAACTGTTCACTTTTCATGAGAGCGTATTACCTGTGACGGGATAGGTTTCTGCAATCTGCACATGAAATCAAAGACAGCGTGAAATGACAGCGGTCTGTCCATGTAGAAATAAAAAATGCATCTTCAGTATATGTGTAACTTAAGATTCCTTCTTCTCTTATCTATTGTCTTTTTAATTTTCACTGACTTAATCTCTCTGTCTTCCTATACAGAAGTTTTTCCATGCTGTCAGCCACATACTGGATGCGGATAATAGAGAGAAGTGGGAGGACGCACAGCAGGTGGGGAGCAGTGACGCTGAAGCAGTTAACTGCAGATCTGTGATGTCTGCCTGTGGCGTGGGTGTGTGTGTGTGTGTGTGTGTGTGACAACCAAGGGATAATACGCACATGCTACAAGAATGTTGTCAATGTAATTACATGAATACGAGATTAATTCACCTGTTATGGAGCAAGGAATTGTACAGATACATGAGCTTTGCTTGTGGGCAGACAAAAATCACTGATGTCACATCATCTTTTCAGTAAACATAGGTAATTTCAGAAAGGAAGGGAAGTGACACTGGTATGGGAGCTGTAGGAAGTTGCACTGCTATATTAGTACATGTTTGCTTTAGGCAGAACGCACACATTATCTGCCTTGCAATTTGATTTTCATTAGAACTGAATTCTAATTCAGAGCGTTCATTGTAACCAAGGTTACATAATATACTTTCAAAAAAAAAGCATTTGTGTACAGGAAGAGACTTGAGACTCAAGACCCGTACAATGCTGCCAAAAACAGTAATTTCCTGAATATAATGGAATTTCTTGCAACGAGAAACAGCTTCACCTTTACTTCGGTTTCCTTATGTCTGCTATGGCATGTTAAGAGCAAGCATTCGGAGGAAGTAAAAGCTTTAAGCCCTAATTTACACCCGAGGAATTTGTTTTCCCAAAGCACAATAACTCTCAACACAAAGATAGGTGTATGTATAAAGTCACTCACACTCCAATAGAATTTCAAGTCAAAAACGGTTTATTGACTCGATTGCTATCACATCATATAGTGACGTTTCAGAACAACAGCGGTTCCTTCTTCAGGCAAACAGAAAACACATTCTGTTTGCCTGAAGAAGGAACCTTTGTTGTTCCGAAACGTCGCTATATGATGTGATAGCAATCGATTCAATAAACCGTTTTTGACTTGAAATTCTATTGGAGTGTGAGTGACTTTATACATACACCTTTCTTAGATTGCAGAGGCATCTGCAGTCACTTTGGCACCTACCCGACTTTAAGGGTATTATTCGGTCAGGAGTGCGATGGGTACATTGGATTTTGGTCTCAACACAAAGAGTCCCATTATGTACACTGGTGCCTGTTCACACCTTAATGTGATGTGACGCTTTTTGCATGTACGTAAGCTCAAGCACATGAACTTTTTTTGGGGGGAGGGGGGAGCAGAATCATTCCTTTTCCACCCCATAGATTTCATTTGGAGCATCTGAAAACACATAAGAAAAGTGTTTTAGGTCATTTTTTAGCCTAGCAACCTTGGACCTGTGAACAAAATGGAGAATTCAGCTATACATGCTGGAAGTGGGGACTTTCATCTGCCTGATGAGGGCCCACAGGTACCTCTATGACCCAGTGATAGCCATGAGAACCGTGGCAAGCAGTAGAGGGCCTGGGAAGATGTTGGGCTTGAAGTTTTCCTGGATTGGAAGCCCCAATAGTACAAGATACCACATAGAATAAAAAGAAAGCAGATGCAAGGCCAACAATGACATATGATGTCACATATGACGTTACAGGTGATACTGCTTTCCACTGGCCAAAGCAAAAATGCATGAAGCTTGAAAACACATGTAGAATGCTTCAAAAACATGAAACAATATGCATAAACGAGCAAAAAAAGCATGAAATCCCCTGACAATGTGTATGCTGATACTGTAAATGGGGGCTTGCACATACATTTACAATATAATGATATCATTAATTATATTA